TGGCATCACCACTTCACACAGCTAAAGTAACAGCACTCGTGCGTGGCTCTTGCTAAGCCACATGCGACATTTATAGGTTTTAAAAGCAATTCAAAGGATGTCTGTTGCAGACAGTTGCTGCGTTTAAGGGGACCGGCTACCCTCCGGAAAAACTTCTAGTTATTATCCGATCATCATGAAACTTCACATACATACGTAAAATGTAAAAAGAAAACATTTTGCTCCTATGAAGTCACAAAGTCATTTTTCGACGCACAGGGACGATACTTATATCGTTCGATGCGCAAGAAAACAACCTTTAAGATGAGATAAGAAACAGAAAAACTCAAAATTTTCAAATTTTAGGGTAGCCGGTCCCCTTAAATTCGTTGCTATAGCCTTTTGAGTTACGAACAGCTCAGCACTGCCTTTAACCTGACTTTTTACGCAACCAATAAACGTGAAAACAAAACGTGCTCTACGCTATAAAAGGTATGCCGAAGTTTCGCCATTGTCGCATTGTGTCAAAATTGGAAAGCCTAATAGCAAACCGCTGCTCGAGATTATTGTCAATCATTACCAGAGTCGGTAAAAAAAACGATTCTCTAAACTAATAACTACTGACATCAAAATGTCGTCAGTAGAAAAATTTAATTCTCGCACACATGCTTTGATACCTCCCATCAAAGTCCGCTTTTCCGGCCGTTAGCCATTAATTTAGGCTGCAAGTCTCATCAATTATGTCACAAAAACGGAGAACCCAACTTTGAACTTCTTTGCCGCCGCAGTGCCTCGGAGAATGAAAGTTACAGAATCGGAGCTCCCATCCTGAAAATTAAAACCATATTAGGAAGCAATTATAACACTGACGGTCAGAATGTTCATATATGTTCTAGAGACTTTTTTTCTCTTGACCACTAATGTTAGGACAACATTTTTCATTTAGTTTTTCTATATAAGGAATGAGATTTAATTTGGAGTGGAAATGCGAATAATACAGAAGTCAGCAGGTGACAACGAACAAGGTATTAGACGAAAAAGATGTATAAACTAATGCAGCCCTGCAATAGAGTGCATGTGGCAGGAAACTGAGGAAATTAACTTTCAAATGCGAAGACCGAATAGATAACCTATTAAACTTGTTAGTAATTATGATTGAAATTAAAGTTATTGTTCAATTGTGACTAATGTTGAGTAATTGAACAGAAAGATCGTGACTCAATGCGATGGCAAATAACTTGCACATGAATCTTCATTGAAATTGTGAGCAAATAGAGCGTTCGAATGACTCAATTGTTGTAATTTGGGGAGACGGCACAGCGCTTCCTATCACTGACCCATCCACGGCTGCACAAGTTAACGTTGTCTGAAATGCCGTAGGAACTTCTTTCTAGGCTCAGCGTGTAGCCGTCGCAGGACCCGTCAGCGCCAGAAAAATAACCAGAATAGATAAGGGACAATCGATTAGCCGCCTTGAAGGTGACGCTGCAGTTGTAGTTTGGGCCGTCGGGGAAAGCCTTGCATCCAAACCCGGGATGTGAGAACACCGCAATGTATTCTACGACGGAACTTCTAGGCGGGAGTTGGATGGTCTTGCCGCATTCGTTTACTGTATATTGAGGTTAATATAATAATCCCGCTTCAACTGAAAAATTATCAACGAAGTAAAAGGTAAATCACAAGGTATGTGATAGAAATAGTTTATCATTAATGATTAGGCAGTAATATTTTTTAAAATTTGAATAATTTTAATAAAAATTTCATATTGTCATTTTGGTTTAGAGTTCAAAGAAAGTAAAGTGCGAAAGGCCAAGCTTAAATAAATATTGTGGAATTATTTAACCGTGGAGAGCCTGAGCGGGTAAAGCTTCAAAACTCCGATTTCAAGACTTGAGCCCAAATTTGAGTTGAAGCAGTGAAGCATATGAAGATGAAGCCAAGTAGGGAGCAATTCATGAGTGTTTGTTCAGCAGAATAGTGTACAACACGTTGATTATTTAATTCGTTAATTTGAAGAAAGTACTGCAATAAAATGTTTTCATTATGATTTATAAGTTACCCTAAGCCTATAAGGTCATGTAGGCATGTAGGGGAGTATCTCAGGAACCCCATAACACGATAAATTCAAGTTTATTCCCATATCCTGATATAATCTAAGATTCACAATTAAATACGTTAACCGAGTATAACCACAACACGTACATTGCAGACATGCTCGATTTGATACTATTAACAACGCGAGATTTTCCTTCACATCCTATTCAAACACGTGGCAAGTCATCCTCTATGCGAAGAAAAATCACAAAAAATTCAACATATCTCTATTGAAAACGTTTCGGAGTCCAGCTCCATCGCTAGTTCCAAAAATCTAGAACACAAATACAATCAGAAAATAATAAAGTTGGGATTCAAAAGTAATACAGAAGTTATAAACTTAAATTTTCAGGCAAAGTGCAGAGTAATAAAGTAAATACCTATCTCTTCACATTTTCTGGTGGATAATAACTAAAGGCTGCATTTAAACTAGGCCTCTCCTTAAAAATATACAAGGCTTCCAAAATACTCAGATCGGATGCAACAGACCTAGCAGCTAAAACCTCAAAGTCAGTGTCGGACACTGGAACGTTGCACTGTTCGGTGTGAGTGCGCACAGCCGAATGATGAGGGCGCGATAGTAACTGCCCAGTCTTATATCTCCTCACTCAATGCTCAGCGATCCTTGAGCAAAGTTTGCGTGACGTCATTCCAACGTACGCAGATGCACAATTAAACTTTTAAACTCGTGCACAACTAAACTTATAAACTAGGGACGATCGCATTTGAAAAGGGAGGATATATTTGTACCTCAAGAACGAACCTATTTTAAAATTATTCACCAGTAAAATATGAAGATTATTGTTCGTAAAGTATTTCGTAAACAAATCATTTAATTCTCTTGACATAGCTTCGGACGCATGGCTGAAGTATGAAGGAGAACAATAAACAATGTTTCTACTATCAGGCTCTGCAACAAATTCACTGTATCGCTTAGACACCCAGTCAATCAGGTCTTGATCGATCGACGGAGATTGATGTGGTTCGATCAAGAATATTGATGCAGATTCCTGATCGGTCGACTTCAAAGTTTCTGCACCCGATAATTAGTTGAGTAGAATAACCTGCATCGAACGATGCCGTATCTACAGTAGCTGAAGTCGAATCTGCATTTAATTGATGTCGAATCATCATTGATCTACGTCGAATCTACATTAATCGATGTCTAATCCATATTAATTGTCAAATGCCCGGCAGTTGAGTTTGACCATTTGTCGACTGCGCGAAAATAAATTTTAAATTAATTTTTTTTCTCTCTCTCTCCGAGATCACCCATACGTTACTCTTTACTGCGACAAGTCAGATTAGATAGTCTTCGCTGTCGAACATATACATCGTATATACACTTGTGATATCAATTACAATCTAACAAATTCAATTACTAATGATGCAGAGATGGTACAAGTAATTCACCGCTTACCGGATAAACGTCGACTCCGAGATTCGAACGCTGGAATTTCGCGTCCGAAGTTCACGCCTCAGCCACCATGCCCACCATATACCTTACCAAACTGAGTTCTATCAACTACATACTGTAACTGCAAAACGAATGGCTTGCAATCGTCATGTAAATCGATGAATAGCCATATTTGTGGTGGAACTGTTTAAAGATTATTCATTTATATTTATTTTAGAGGAATGAACGCAGTTTCTATTCAATCGAAAAAAGAATATTACTCGTATTGCAAAGGAGAAAGACAAGCACTGTTTCTCTTGCCACTTTTTATGATTTTCGGGCTAGCGAAATGCCGTTACTTCTATAATTTTTCAATTTATTTACAAGTTAGTTCTCTAGTTTATTTAAATTTTATAATGGAGCTGATCAATTTAAATCGAAATTTATTTCTAATTATTTTTATTGCCTCAAATCAGCCCCGTTGAAAAATTTAAGCAAATTTTTCATGATTAATTTAACACGCTAAAGCAGCTGTATGAATATGTTTTGAATATGAACTATGAAGAAGTTTATGATGGTTCTTTTTAAATAAAAATATTGCTAAGTTTTGAAGCAGTTTCTTCATACGACTTTTAGTCGTTAGCAGTGAATTTATATCATTTAATAAGATGCATGTGAAAAACGTTTTATTTACAGTCACGTTAGAAAAATTTTTCAGGAAAACTAATAGATATCTTCTGGACATTATCAAGGTAAGGTAACTTTTAGGCTTGAACGTTTCTCTGGGAAAGCTAGTAAAGCTTGAACTGGGAAAGCTAGTAAAACACTCACGTATTTCAACGTATTAAAATAATTACGTGGTATAATAATCGTAACTGGCAACAGAAATGGACCCGAAATAGGGCATTCTATCACTTGAACTAGATTGAACACAAATTTGAACACAATTTTAACAGGGTAATCATAAATTAGAGTGCATATCAATTTCCGATTCATTATTCTATCAGATTGAATAGCCAACCAACATGTTTGAGCATGAATTTTTCGGTTTGCTCAGTAAAGTTACCCACACTCATATACTTCGATCTGCAACGATAAACCCACAGTCGATAGTTCGCCATGCATCTGCATAGATTGTTTAGGGAAATTCGATTTCCAAATCTTCTAGTGGTCGGATCTTCCGCGTTATGCAGTAACCCACACAAATCGACATCGTTGCCCACATTGGCGATTGACTGGGCATGAGTTTCTTAATTTGGGTAAACACTAAGCCGACGAAAATCCATCGGGCGAGAAGATATTGCGCACAAATTGAAATTGAAAAATTTCGACCAATTTTGCCGCATATATTACTAGTAGTTTTAAACAGGGAAAGTTTTTAGTTCCAGTCTTGAATTGTCTTACAACTATACAGTATACTGTAGACAATTCTTATACGTTTGTTGACCGTTTGAAGGATTTTACAGACGTTCAGGACTATGGCCTCTTATGACGTTGAAAATTTGTTTACTAATATACCTCTTCATGAAACAATTGAAATCTGCCTAAATTATCTGTTTAAAGATATTCATGATATTGTAATTTATTTGAATCATGACTTTGCGAATATTTTTATGTATTTTCACGAGGTTTCTTGGTTGACTAATATTATTGTCCTCTTGACTTCAAGCCAATAGTCTGTAACAGATACGTCGATGACACATTTCTTATTTTCAAGCATCCCGCTCCTGTTAAACTAGTCTTCGATTGATTTCGGAGACTAGTTTATTATTACTTCGGTATTTATCGATTGATAGATCATTTGCCTGCTAATAATCTCCCATCAGACTGTCAACATGGCTGTATTGCTGGGAAATCCTGCACCACTAACCGTATACTCGGAATAAATGGACCCGCCTGCTGGGCGAAAGGGAACCAGTAGATACAGTGTACCTTGATTTTGCCAAGGCATTTGACAGTGTCCCACGTGAGCGGCTGTTGCGTAAATTGAAGTCTTTGGGAATTGAGAGCAATGTACTCAAATAAATCAGAGATTTTCTAGTGGGGAAGCGACGTGTCAGTATTAATGGGTCAGTATCAGACTGGGCTTCAGTGCGCAGCGGCGTGCCACAAGGAAGCGTTCTCGGGCCTATTCTATTCGTTGCGTTTATAAACGATCTGCCAGAAGCTGTGTCTAGCGTTTGCTCGATGTATGCTGACGACACAAAAATTTATAATACAGTGAAGAATACGTCGCAAAAAGTACAGTTGACAGGTGATCTTGACAGGCTGGTTGACTGGGCTGAAAAGTGGCAGCTGCGTTTTAACGCTGACAAATGTAAAGTTATCCACCTTGGCAAAAATAATGAACAGCAAGATTACAGCATGAGAAGACGAGGTTGCAACGACAGAGTGATGATGTCGAAGTCGACAATGGAAAAAGATTTAGAACTTAACATAGACAATGAGTTGAAATTTTCCAAGCATATTGAAGGTCAAGTTAATAAAGCCAATAAACGACTTGGACTGATCAGAAGCTCTTTCGAGTTCCTAGATGCAGAAGCGATGAAGCAGTTGTTTGTTGCTGTCGTGCACCCGAACCAAGAGTTTGGAAACGTCGTGTAGTCACCGAAATTTGAAAAGGACAAAAATTTGATAGAGAGTGTTCAAAGACGCGCAACAAGGATAGTTCCGGGCTTGAAAGGCTAGTCCTATGAGGGAAGATTAAAGATTATGAAGCTTCCAGGCCTCAGTTATCGACGTCTGCGTGGGGACCTCATTGAAGCATACAAGTATACTCATGGCTTATACAAGGTTCCAGAAGGATTACTAGAATTTGAAACAAGAACCAACACCAGGGGCCACGGCTATAAACTATAAAATCTGCGTTATAACACATCCATGCGACAACATTTCTTCTCGCTTCGAGTCCCCGACATGGCGAACAGCCTCCCTGATAGCATCGTTGACGCTCCGAGTACGAACGCCTTCAAAAACAGACTAGACGAAGATATGCAGGAGCATATGTTCGGTCTTGAAATGCCTAGCAAATTACGGACCAAGCAATAAGTCTAGCAGCTATCTCAATCAATCGTCGGTTATAGAAAGATCGGGTTCCAAAGGCCGGATCCCTTGTGAATCCAGTCACGAAAAATTCAAGAATCGGTAACAGGCCATGGGCCTATTTTCTTCAATGCCGACACTTCTATTCTATTCTATATTCTCGCTTAATGGATTTCATCCTGGCTTGGTGTTTACCCAAATCAAGAAATTCATGTTAAGCAATACGGTGAAGTTCTTCTTGCGCCTGATAATAGAAACGTGGTCTACTGTTCTCCTTCACATTTCTGCCATGAGTCCGAAGCTATGTGTAGAGAATTAAAAGATTTGTTTATGAAATACTTTCCGAATATTTTTACTGGTGAATAATTTTAAAATACGTTCGTTTTTTAGGTACAAAGATATCTTTCCTTTCCATATGCGATCGTCCTTTGTTTATAAATTTAGTTGTGCACTATGTGTATCTGCGGACGTTGGAATAACGTTACGCAATCTTTACTCTAGGGTCGCTGAGCAAAGAGGGATGAGTTATAGGACTGCGCAGTTACTATCGCGCCCTCATCATTCGTCTGTGTGCACCCACGCCGAACAGTGCAACGTTCCAGTGTACGACGCTGACTTTAAGGTTTTAGCTGCTAGGTCTGTTGCATCCGATCTGCGTATTTTGGAATCCTTGTAGAGTTTTAAAGATAGGGCTAGTTTAAATGCAGCCTTTAGTTCTTATCCGCTAGAAATTGTGAATAGATAGGTAGTTATTTTATTACTCTGCCTTTTGCCTGTGAATGTAGGTTTTTAGCTTCTGTATGTTTTCTTTTGAAGCCCAACTTTATTAGCTTCTGATTGTGCTTGTGTTCTAGATTTTTTTTCGAACTGACGATGGAGCTGGACTCTGAAACGTTTTCAATAGAGATATGTTATATTTTTGCCTAGTTTTCTTCGCTTTTAACTTCCTATTGAAAATGCGATTCAAGCAATCTAGTGACATTAATAATTAAATTCCTGATATGGCTTACATCTTTCATGATTTGTATGACGTATTATGTTGACTATGTTATTATTATTCATGTTATTTTTAGTAGTCATTCAGATTATATTATTAATTTTCTTGGCATTTTGTTTCAGTTTCGTGTTACATAAGTTTTGGTGACATTTACTGAAGACACAAAATCGCAAAAAAAAAAACACTTTTTAAAATTGTCTTGATATTGTTGAATGATTTTTGTGATCTGCCTCAGGCTGATTACAGAAGTGATATCGCTTTTTCTCCTATCACGTAAGACTAAATAATTTTAAAATATAATTATTTCGGATTAGTTTTTATTATTTTAACATGAAGGAAAACCAAAACACATAACAATATTTAGGGGATAGTGGTATGGTTGGTAGTGATAAGAATGTTCTGCATAGTTATTATAAGTCTTTATGGAGAGGCTTTCCTTTTCCATCAAAGCTATTTATGATGATTTTGGCTGTTTTGATTTAATTTTTCAATTTTTAACATCCTTCTGAAGTCTGCCATCATGACATTCCATCACTCTTGATATCTACGCTCCATTTCTCGAATATTTGATGTAAACATGCTGGTTGTTCCTCACTTATGGCTCCAAGATTTTCTGGAAAGTAGTCTACATGTGAGCGAAGGAAATGGACTCATGACTCATTGTGGCCCAACATTTTGTAGTTTTGCGACAATTCAGCAACCAGGAAGTTTTTCCAAGGAAGTCTTTTACAACTAGTTTGAATGAATTCCAGGTATTATTTTTTTCCATTTCCATATTATGACGACGGTTTCATCTTCTATAATTTTTCATATGCATGACCCCACAAAAACTCTTTCAGCTTAGCATAGCATAGACCAGAAAACCTTTCATGTAGATACTTTAAACTCATTCCTTTTTGCTTGATGCGTTAACAAACTGTTTCAAAAGCCCCAACTTGATATGAAGTGAGAGGGGCAAGATCTTTTTGGGATCGACTAAAATTTGTCTTTGTACATTTTTAACTCAGGCGGCAAATATTTTTATATAAATTTTATAAAGGAAGTTTGTCCGAGAAGAAAGGCGTCCCAATGACGAGTACTATCGTCATCGTGGAACTCCTGACCCTTTCTGATTGGCCACGTCTGCCTGACATAGTTTGTTCATGTGTCACGGCTATTCCAGGAATTAAAAGTAAAGAGAATAGCCAAAAAGGTAACCATTTCTTATAAGAGAAAACGTTTAGGAGTCCGGCTCCATCGTCAGTTCAAAACCTAGAACACAGGTACAAACAATTAGTATCCTAAAATTCACATTCAAACAATTCACCTAAACTTGAGGACATTTTAGGATACTAATTATTTGCACCTGTGTTCTAGATTTTGAATTGACGATGGAGCTGGACTCCGAAACGTTTTCTCTTAAAATAAATGGTGAACTACAGTGGGGGGAAATAAATATTCGTACACTTGAAAAATCGTATTTTAATGTATGTAAGTACACAAACTTAACAGGAAAAGTGATTTAAATTATGTATAGAGACGCATAGTATTCAAAAATACTATCAAAAGAAATTAAATCTCAATGCAACAAAAAACAATGCAACATGTTCACTTTTCGGGTGAAAAAAGTGTTCGTACAAAACAATAAATCAGTTTTTTGTTGCATTGAGATTTAATTTCTTTTGATAGTATTTTTGAATACTATGCGTCTCTATGCATAATTTAAATCACTTTTCCTGTTAAGTTTGTGTACTTACATACATTAAAATACGATTTTTCAAGTGTACGAATATTTATTTCCCCCCACTGTACTTGGCTATTTTATTTACTTTTAAATTCCTAGTAAATTTGCGACTTAAGCAACCAAGTGATCTTAATACGGCTATTCCATGTACAGAGTGCAAGATAATACTTTTAAACCTACTACTTAACATGCGATATTTTTTTCAGCAAAAACCTGAGCAATTAATACTTCTCATCTCTAAGTAAATCTTTAGGATTTTATGACGGCCATGAACTTTTTTGAAGTTCATCGTACCAGGTTTTCCAAGAAACTGAAGTCACCGAAATTTAATTGAACTCCACGATATTCTTGAATGACACCTCATTCTTATTTTCGCAGCAAGAATTTCATATCAGCAACACATCGGTTTATTGGTTCCATTCGTTATGTAAATAAATCATGTGCTCTCGTGCTCACGTATGTAATAAGTCAGATGAGTTGTATTGACGAGGATGGGCATCCCCCCGCATGAGGTGTCGGTGACGCAAGAAGCCAAGTCCAAATCGGAAAAGGAAATAGCGTTGTAACCGCCATCTTCTCGAGAGAAGACGTAATTTGACTGGTACTTTTTGACCACTGGAAAGAAAAGAATCTATTATTAGTAATGCAATTAGAATATCCTATAACACTAGAGTGTAATTTTGTTTAGTTTTTAAAGTTTAAATTAGCTTATGTTTTAAAGTCGGATGAGGAAATCTAATAATAAATTTTTTAATAACTTTGATAATTTTGTCACAGGTTGTAAATTAACTACAAACTATGATATTGAGCTCTTCATATTAAGCTCTACCTGAGGATCGGGTTCTTCGTTGACTAAGGTAGTGAGGGATAAGTAAGACACATAAGTCCAGATAACGTATCTTGTATACGGGGTGGTAATACAGAGTTGCGATACAGAGGAATAAGCTACGGCATCGACCGTAAGGTCGGAGAACTCAAGGTACACGCTACATCGCGGAGTGCTTATCAGCTACTGGGGGCTTTGCTTAAGGTTGCTAGACCTTTTATTACATTCGTTTCCGCCCACTAGTGCGGCCTTGATCGCGTGATCTATCACGTGTCTATCAGATGTTGACTCGTGGACTCAATAGCTAACTAGGTCTGTTGGTAAAAACATTAGGACTTGTTTCCGCGACCTACTCTCGGACAATTTCGTGCGCCAAGATAATCAGTGCCACTCATAAGGCGACGGAGAAATTAGATCAAATTCTATCATGTGGGTAATCTTCAGGCTGGCAGCTCCCATCAATAAATTATTTACATAATGTCTATGTTAAGTTGCATTCTGAACAGTTCCAATGTCAAAATTTTCACTTGGCGTGAGTGTAGATCAGCTCCATTTCATCGTGATTACGGGAATGACGTGCGTGAGATTAAAATAATTGGTCACATTTCTAACGAATTCAGCGGAAGATGTCAACAGGACTAGAGGACCTTCCCATTCCATGCCTCTCCCATCCATGCAGCGCGAGCGCGGTTTAAGCGCTGCTTCAAATTTTTACCGGGTTAAAAGAAACTATAGTTACTATACCTTCACATGAGTAGGTGTTGTTAAAGCGGTATGGAGAGAAGATAAGATTGTTCCTACTAGTTTGAAGCGAGGAATCAGTATTTCAGACATTTGATCCAACTTACCTTTTCCATCAATTGATGTCACAACTCGAGAAAGGACATCCGAGAAGAAATTCACGAGCTGGTACTGCTTGAATTCGACATTTTCGACAGTGGTGTTGATGTAGGGAGCGGTGCCTGTTGAGATGTACATACATAAACAACGATTTTCTGTCAAGAGTAAATGGCATGTAAAGCAGATGTGTCTGTTCTCAATAAAGGTGAATAACAATTAACTGGCCGAGTTAATTGGATATTAGGTCTGAGATTGTCATAACGAACGAGCGCCAATAGGTTTTACGGATTGGTACCGGCGCAACTTCTAGGTCTCCTGGCTGTTGGTTGCACCTGCTTACTGCAAACCGGAAAGACTCAGAAGCTACGTGCACAGCGCGCAGTGGTAGTGACGTGTTGGGCTCTACCTCGCTTCCAGTAAGATTTAATATGCAAAGTCTGAGTATGACTGTTTTTCAGTACTATATATATATACAAGACAAGTGATTGTTAAGTCAGATGCGTCTTTTCTAGGACACTTGGATAAGAATTAATTAAGTATAATGTTTCAAGCAATTTAGGTTCGAATTAATATCCATATAAAATAATTAGGAGGAATGAAAGAGTGACACTCTAAGGTAGTAAATACTTAAGATTAGACACTGTGAGGTATTACTACAGGAATCGATCTGGTAGCTATATCAACACGATCGCAAGCGACACGATTGTCGGAGTGGTCTTAAGTAAATGCAAAGAGAGGCTGGCTGCAACTGCAGCTAAGAGTTGTTGGTCTTAAACCGTTGTGCACCACTGTATCTGCAGTGTAGCCTTAGCGTTTATGAGATTATACTATACTACTTCCATCAAATAACTTGCCTAAATAGAGGAAGAAAATCCGACTAAGAAGGTATAAAGCCAAGAAGTAATCATCATAGCGGTAGTTTAGCGCGCCGCACAAACTACGCTCACATTTAAATGCGCACACCTACACTTCCTCCCAACAATACACGAAGATACACACCAGTAAGGATACGCACATTCACTCCCTCATGTGGATGGATATTTGTACACCGGAACTCACACAGGCTCAGAGTTAGCGGCCCTTATTTTCCTTAAGCTTAATCATATCCTTCGAAACTCTACAAAAATGAACTTTCAAGCGGAACTCCCGACTTTTTCACAACACATACGCACACAGTGCAGACAGGCAATGTCTGCTTAGAGTCACGGGAAAAGTTGAGGTGCTTTTACACGGGGCTAGTAATAGCTCCGAGTATTCGTTGCAAGTTTTCGCACTCCAAATATTTTGACGATTTATTCTTAAGATGCAAGTAGCTGATGCAAATGCGTCTGAAGCAGTTCAGGTTGTTGATGTGTCATCAAGTACCGGCAGTAGGGCTAGAGCCTGTAGCAGCCGCAATATGTACATCTGAGCCGCTCTGTATCCTGCTTGAGGCAAGTGTTTCTAATGATATGAACTATGTCTGGTCCCAACGACGACGATGCAAAGAACGTCAAGAGGTCTTCGTATGATATTGAACTGTTCTTACTGATATTCCAAATATACGATCTAAGGTAGAATGTGCTTCACGATGAATATTTCAACAAAAACTAATCGCGAAAGTAGTATTTTCAAGCTTAAACGATACTTCATTAGGCCTCTCACACTATACGCTGATCTGCATACTTTTTAACCTCTTATGCCGGTTCCATTGCCTGCTTCATCAAACGCTTCCTCGATCTCGTCATTACCGTTACGTTCCATATTCCACCATGTACAGACCTCGCTCGACGGCTTCCAACAAAGAACTGTCACTTGTGGATGCGGAAATACTAGTTACCAAATACTTTCCTCGTGTATAAGCTTTCAGCCGGGAAAACTGGAAGTGTAAAAACTTGTAGCGCATACTTGCAGCTATATAGTACTAGCCGCGTGTAGAAGTGACTTTAAACTCGAGTCTAGTGTCACAGCATTTAGATTCGAGATTAGTCACAGCCTCGCATAACCTAACCTAAACAACACTTCTGCCCCCAATTTAACGCTAGGTGTGATTCATCCACAACTAGTTACGCTAGAGCCTTCGGAATACAGAAGAATATTTGCTGAAGATGATGAATATATAGTATTTGGTTGTGGAATCAGAAAGAGTTCACTCATGCAACTAAATCCTTAACACATTTATTTATCAATCGCTGACATTTCAACTTTAAAGTAAATTCTCTACTTCACAAATCAAGTCCTAATTTTGCGTTCACCTATAATTTCAATAAAACTTGAAACGTGTAACATGATTTTATGTGATATTGGTCAAGTGAACAACGAATTTCGTAGCTTATTTATTGGCAGTGAACATAAGGCTCGTACACATTGTTACAGCTCATGCATACAAGTATCGCAGGGACTCACTTAAAGTCACAGTTGCAGGAGGTCCGTAGGAAATGCTGGAATCCGCCACGTAAATGACTTTCTCGCCACCATGACAGGAGCAGAGCTTCTTATTGAATTGGTAAGCCGTGCAGGTTCCATTGAACACAAAAGCAGTCATATCTGGGAAAAATTAAATTCTTTTTCTTGTAATTTTTTATGTAATTCACAGCAATGCGATTGATATTTTGAGATTAATATATTTCATTATATATTTTTTCCACAAGAGCTTTAAAACTCTGAAAAATTTTTACAACCACTGCTCTTGAATGCTGAGTATACTTGTAAACTTTTGCTCGTTAATGGATTACCTTGTGAGCTGAATTATCAATGCTGAAAATAATTAGCTAGTGATGGGAAAACAGAAATCTGATCTTAATTGTATTATGCCTTACTTTAAGGCTGAGTTTAAGCCAACCAATACTTAACATAGGTTTCATATTGCTAAGAAGTATGGGATAACGTTCCCCAAATTGTAGGTAACTTTGGCAAAATCACTTGAAAACACATCATAATAAATTTGAAAAAAATAATGGAGAGGTCTGAACACGGTTCTAATATATGGATATAAATTTGTTTACACATTAAAATACCATGACAAATTATATATTAAATGCTTTCAGATATGGAGCTGAATAAATTATGACAGGGGCCTGAATTTAGGCCAATCAGATCCTAGCTGAGAGTATCTTTCATAATAACATTTCGCTTAATTAAAGTCAACTGATAATTAAGAACGTGCACAAGAAGTTACATACTTAGGCTTGATTCGCGGCGCCATACTGCCTGGTCCTGGCCAGTCGCTATCCAGTTCAATATTATTTAAAGCATTATTATAAAAGCATGCACGCCACCTGTGCGAAGCACCTATCATGCCAGGCACGGTCCAGCCACGATGAAGACAAAAGATATTTTTACCGGTACGTGACTGGTAGGGTAGGAAAGAAAATGAATGGACGAAAATGATCCGAAAGAAGCTGAAGTGAGGACGACCCGTGACCGGACTAAATATGCAGATATACCGGGCTGGGAAAAGACTGTGACTGGCAAATGCATGGCACTTGCCAGTCAGAAAAGTGTGAATCAAAGCCTAAGTAAGCCCGGAAGTCGCGCCTCGAAATCACGTCGTTCTATCGGTGATACCGTTGGCGGCCACCCTCGGTCTAGTCAGGCTTGCCCGTATCTTAGTCAAGTTCATCCTCAACGCCACTATCAACATTTTGTTCTTAGCTCTAAATATTTCATCATCCGGTATTGTTTGCGATAAATTTTAGTATTATGCAAGTAATGAAATCGCAGTAACAATGCAGACGCTAATAAGTAGTGTCTGTCGGATAAAGCGCATTATAATACGATAGAATAAATAATGCTTTGCCCCGGGATAGAATGAAAAGTAGCAGTCTCACCTGCCAAGGCAGACATTCTTGCGCACTGCGCCACATCCGAAGCTGCGATAATCTTGGACGCAGTCGTTGCGAAGGCTAAATTGCTCGTCGTAATCGAAAGGCGTCGGTATATCTGAGAGGAGGACACACATTAGCGTCGGTACGTCTGAAGGAAAGACACACGTTAGCGTCGGTACGTCTGAGAGAAGAACACAAGTTAGCGTCGGTACGTCTAAAGGAAAGACACACGTTAGCGTCGGTACGTTGGAGAGAAGCTCACACGTTAGCATCGGTACGTCTAAGGAAGGACTGAACAAAAAACTATGATTTAGTTTTAAATTTGATTTATTACGGGTCATAGCTTCCGTAACCTTTTGTTCTGTTTCTCGATTCTGGGTGCCGTATGAAGTAGCCACAACCTGAACATTTGATAACGAACTAATCTCATCCCTGCTACTTTACTTCACCTCCCTTTCAAGAATTTTCGGCAGTTCGTTGCTCGACTCCACGACAGCAACTCCCGGGGTGCCCGAGTGACTTTGCACTATAACTTCTGTGCCAGCTTCTGGGACATGCACATTGTTTGATGCACGGGACGCCACATTGTTCAGCCTCGGTTAATTACTGAATTTGATGGAGTAACAATACCATTGGAAGCCCTGCCAGAATGCGGTCGGAATTGTCGGATTGAGCTTGTGCACGTCCTGGCTCTGGCGTCATCTGTCCTTCTCCTGCACTCTTGCTACTCTGGCGGCTTTGACTAGTAAATTCAGGTACGTCACCCTTACCTCATGGGCACGGGACAAGCGGTTACGGAATGCTAAATCGTGTTCCTTTTCACTTTAGACCCGAATAAATAAAGAGCCTTAATAGTCAATATTTATCTATTCAATATTGCCTATTTTTTATTTATCATTTCTTAGACAGTTTCCTTCGAATGTGCCTTTCACTTTAATTAAAAAACGTGTGTTAATATATTCGCCGACTCGGAAATCGATCAATTTTTAATTTCCGAATCATTTGTGGCGCTCTATAAGACTCGTTTCTTTCTCCAATTCTTCAGGATTTACGGGTTGGACGAACTTGGGAGCGAGTATGCGACTCCGTTGCCCCTCCACTTACAGTGAAGCGAGTCGCTACCACAATTTCAGGGGGCAGCACAGAGCAACTTAGGATTAATGGGATTTGTTGTCATCGTTAATTTTTCATTAAAGAAAAAATACACCAACCATGGTTTGACTCTTGTTTTTGTATGCCTTCGGATCCCGTTTAGTATCCTCTCGATCACAAAGTTTTGTCTAAAGACACACGTTAGCGTCGGCAAATCCGAGAGAAGTACACTCGTTGGCGACGGTACGTCTGAAGGAATGACACGCGTATGCGTCGTTATGTCTGAGAGGACACACGTTAGCGTCGGGACGTCTGGAGGAAAAATACACGTTAGTGTCGGTACGTCTGAAGGAAGGACACACGTTAGTGTCGGTACGTATGAAGGAGGAACACACGTTGGCGTCGGTATATCTGAGAGAAGGGGACATGTTAGCGTCGGTACGTTTGAAAGAAGGACAAACATTAGCGTCGGTACGTCTGAAGGAAGGACACACGTTATTGTTGGTGCGTCTGCAGGAAGGATACACGATAGCGTCGGCACGTCTGAGAGAAGGACACACGTTGGCGTCGGTACATCTGAATGAAAGACTCAAGTTAGCGTCGGTACGTCTGAAGGAAGGACGGTACGGATGCAATGACACGTTAGCGTCGGTAAGGATACACGTTAGCTAACGTCGGTAGGACACACGTTAGCGTCGGTAAGTCAGAAGAAAGGAAACACGTTAGCGTCTGTACGTTTACAGGAAGGACACGTTAACGTCGGTATATTTGAAAGGACACGCGTTAGCGTCGGTAAGTCAGAAGAAAAGATGTAGAGGAGATAGATTTAATTTATTGCTATATATTTATAATTTTTAAGTTGCAATGTATTAGGTATTAGGATTTTGATTTTGTCATTTTCAGTTTTCAATCACCTTAGCCGTGACCTCTAGCAGTATTTAGTTTTGTCTATCAGTGTGTCTAGTGTTCTTGCCGTGGAGGTACGTTAATCGATAGCTCTGTGATTATATTTGTATTTGTTCAATTTTAGAAGTGAATCGTTTCGTGTTATTGATTATTTGTGCGTGTTAATTTGTTTATTATGTTTATTATATATTCATTCTCTAGTTAGTTATTTCAAGCGTTTTTTTGTTCTTTTCAGGAAGGCCTCTATATATGAGCTCAGTGTTCGAACTGAAGATATGAACTCGATATTTGGACTTGATTAGTGAATTGAAAGTGATTGAAACGCACGGTTAAAGTTACAGTGAGGTTAGGATTAGGGTGTTAGGTTCGTTGTGTTTGTTTCTATTTATTCACCCTTAATTATATTTACTTTCAACTGCTTATTTATTGAAAATCCTTGGTCTTGAAAAGTTGATTAAAATCTTGAAGAACGATCACGTGCTATGTGTCGGGGAGACGTCAGTTTGTTAAGAGATAGTCCCTCAACAACATGTTAGCGTCGGTACGTTTGAATGAAAGGACACACGTTAACATCGGTGTGTCTGAGAGGACACACGTTAGCGTCGGTAAGTGAGAAGAAAAGACATACGTTGGCGTCGGTATGTCTGATAGAAGCACATACGTTATCGTCGGTAAGTCTGGAGGAAGGACACACGTTAGCATAGGTACGTCTGAAAAAAGGACGCACGTTAGCGTCGGTACATCTGAAGGAAGAATACACGTTAACGTTTGTATGGCTGATAGAACGACACACATAAGCTGCTGTGTGTCGGGAGAAAGGACACACGTTGACGTCGGTACGTCTAATGGGAAGACACAAGTTAGCGTCGGTACGACTGAAAAAAGGAGACACGTTAACGTCGGTATGTCTGAGAGAAGGACACACGTTAGCGTCGATAGATTGGAAGAAAGGACAAACGTTAGCGTCAGTACGATTGAAGACAGGACATACGTTGATGTCGTTATGTCTGAGATAAGGACACACATTAGCGTCGGTATGTCTGAAGGAAGAAAACACAATAGCGTCGGTATGTTTGAGAGGACACACGTTTGCGTCGGTATGTCTGATTTAAGGACGTACGTTAGCGTTGGTACCTATGAAGGAAGAACACGTTAGTGTCAGTACGTTCAAAGGGAGGACACACGTTAACGTCGGTACGTCTGAAAGGAGGACACATGTTATAATCGGTACGCCTGAAGGAAGGTCGCACGTTAACGTCGGTATGTTTTAGAGAAGGACACACCTTAGCGTCAGTACGTCTGAAAAAAGGACTCACGTTAGCGTCGGTACGCCTGAAGGGAGAACACTCGTTAGCGTCGGTACGTCTAAACGAAGGACACACGTTAGCATTGGTACGTCTGAAGTAATGACACACGTTAGCGTCGGTACGTCTGAAGGAAGGACACACAATAGCGTCGGTACGTCTGAAGGAAGGACACATATTAGCGTACGTAAACGTCTGAAGGAAGGACACACATTAGCTATGGTACGTCTGCAGGAAGGACACACGTTAGCGTCGGTACGTCAGATATATGGACACATTTTCGTCGATAATTTAAAGGAAGGACTTGCGTTGCCCCACCTGTTAATCATTTATCAATCCTCATTAAATATGCACATCAGTGAGTGATTGATACATTGGCTGAATATACGGGTATTGACTCTGCTCAAATGAATGAAATTTAATACACAGCACGAAAAATGTGTTGACAAGTAAACGACTCGAAAATTGATTCACCATATCGAGGAGCAATAAACAAAAATTCGAGGAACAAAATCGGCAGGGAATAAAAACTACTTCCACAAACATGTTTTCAGCTGGATATTGAAAAAATATATATAACCTGAGACCGGGTATATACTTTGAGCCGTAATGCTGCGAGTGTTTTTTGTATTTGAATGGCTCACCACCATCGATTTCGGGCCCCGCATAGTCAGGGTCTTGAAGCGTACGGAAGTGGTAGTCGCCCGACAGCCCTGCAGACCAGACGAGCGTGAAGCCACGTTTACCTGCGGGTGAACTTAGGTGCGTTCCTCCAAAATGTTAAAGGTTAATAATTACGGATAAAGCTCGTATCTGTTATCTATGAAATGTTCAGCTTGTTTGTTTAAGGTTTTATGTAAGGCTCTATGTGGTCTTTGTGTAAAAATACGTAGATCACAGTTAGAGAACTAAAAGAGGCTTTGTTGAAATAACGATGCACTTCAGTTTGTTTGCTTCAGTGTGGGTTACACTGACACAATTTGGCCCGGCCAAAGAGCACAGACGTGTTATGCTTCTGAGGTGCTATTAATCGATTCAATGTTGCTGAATGCGAAGGATTAAAAGTAGTTTTGTGAACGTGATCTTAAATCATTTCCAATCAAATGATCAGATGGATAATGTGAACTGTTATAAATAAATAAACCTTAAATTATCTTGTGTATCAACTGAAACGAACAAAAACGTTCTGGAAATCTTTACAATTGTTCAAACTTTGCCGATCACTTTGCATTAAAAACTATATGCAAGAAAATAAATTTTAATAAACACATGCCTTTGAGGTAAATGCTTTAATCTTCTACTCTAACATCAGGGGAACATGCATTGTTCAAAAACAAAGATACGAGCATTTTGGGTTTAAAGAAACTCGAGTCTAGCTGTAACATTTTGTTGCACGAAAGTTCACTTAATAAAAATAGCCCTACAAAACGGATTATGGACAAATGATAATCTAAGCAGCAAATAAAATATTGTTGCAGCTCACGGTACTCACGCTGTCGGGATACGATGCCATAGCGAGTCCAGAGCACAGCACCTGCAACACAAAACAAATTAAAATAATACAAGGGGAACACCATCAGGAAAAATAAATCAATGTAAAAAACACTTACAGTACATAAGGCATTAGTAAAAGAAATAATAACAACTATCTTTGGATATATTCCGAATTGGGTTGCTGCTGTCGAAGTTAAATCAATCATGAGACCTACAAGAAGATATATACGTGAAGCTTTTGATGCAAAAAAGAAGCAGTAACCGTGCAACTAAAATGAGGACATTTTGTGAGACTGGCAAATGGTAAATGCGATCTTCATAAATTGTAAGTGCTCCTAAATTAACTCACATAGGCGATCACTATTATTGAAGGGAACTTTTAGGACACTTATGTATACAAAAATCATTCACAATGTACTTTCTAAAAAAAATATTTTAGCCGTTGGCAACTGAATGAGTTACAAGAAAGTCAATTCATTGCAATTCTTTTGAAATTTGATTATAATCGAGGATCTCGCCGCTGATATTATCAAATATTTTTCCTAAATTACAACTTTAAAAAATGATGTTCGTCTATGCATAATTGTCATAAAGTGCATTCTGTTAGCTCTTATAAAATAAACTATTTAGGAATGAACTTTTGCAAATCCGGTCTGCGCAAAACAAATTTAAATTAAAAGAAAAAACTCTTATTGACAATATATTAAGAAAATTTTAAACATATTTGATATCTGGTATTTGATGCCGACTGATTTTAATTGTGAGGCTCGTATCCTGTGAGCATTTTAACGCGGCCAAACAATATGTTATATACAAACAATATGTTATGTTAAAGACAAAAATCAAAAATGAATCATGCACCGAGAATCCAATGTTTATTTGCAAGTCATTCAATTGCCACGCAGCCAAGTAGCTAAGTCTATCACTCCGTATATTTTGAGGATATGTCTCATGAACAAACAAAAGTTGACGTCAGTCTCACCGAAGTGAAGAGGCCAGTGAGGATGTTCTTTATGCGAAACTTCTTCATCATCTTGACTTTATTGTTTATTTTCACTTGCAACAACTTTCAAACAACGATAATAATCACTGTAAAAAAAATCATCAGGTTTTGTATTATACGATATTTTACCACAGTTTGCATACACACCCCATCCTTACTACCGTTATACCAGCCAAGTACGACCAGCATGGTAGAAGAATAGTGTCATCCACAACGTACTATTAGTTCAGGGAAATTTTAGGACATCGAAGGTCTGAAGTGGGTTTACATATTTGATATCATAAGATATGGTGTCTTCACAATTATGGTATACTTCTGGTATTTAAGAACAATAAGAAATGTTGACGAAGCTCATCGAGACAAAATAGAATCAAAGTAATAAATGGAGAATAGGAATGAAATAGTTATCTTACTGGTGATATGCGATTCCAACTAAAGCGCAGAGAATCGATGTGCTAACTAACCATTGAAAAACTGGGGAACTGTCTAACAGGAAAAACAACCAATCCCTATCGCTGTGAGTGATCACAGAGAGTAATCAGATAGCTCATTAAGGGTGTGTTAGTATCTCAGGGGCCGGATTATCAAAACATGCTAAGTATACGTAGCCGCTAAAGTTTAGCGTAAGTACAGCTAAGTAGACGTGACTCTACTGAGTGTTATTATCGAAACATTTGCGCGGGAAGCTACGTACAAAAATTTGTGCATAACTGTACAAAGCCTCTGATTGGTCAGTTAGTTGTATGGTTTCGATAATACCTTTTCAGATGAGTCATGCGTAAGACAGTTTTGTTAATGCCAAATTTTGACTGACTTACGCCATACGTAACTTTTTGAACGTAAGTACGAAAAGTTACGTGAACTTAGCGAAGTTTCGTTGATCTCTGCCCTGGCCAGACTCTGCCGTATCGTTATTGTGCATACAAGTGTTGAAGCCACCATTTCAATGGGTACATATCAGGAGGAGTTTGAGAAGTAAATAAATAAAATCTTCCTCTAACGGCACTCCTCCCAACACCTTAGTTCGCAACATACAGAACGAACACGCGCCCGAAGATCCTTAACTAAAGAGCCACATCATTGTTCATTAATAAACTCCTACATTTTTTATTTCGAGTAGTTGATTCTAGAACTTGTAATAACAATGTATACAAGCAGGCAAATTTCCTAAGCAGGCATTTCCAAACAAAGCAGGAGAGCATAAGCTTTCAAATCAACCATGATCCCGGCAGTGGCTGACAATTGGAGAGCGAAACATTAATTTTGACCATATTTTAATGCGGAGCAATATCACGATAAGAAAAATACAACAGTTATGATTTTTAGCTATGGCAGAAATATTCTATGCTTCTTAGGTGATGAAGCAATTCATGTGTAAAAAGCTTCGGTAAAAAAACAACGAAAAGGTGCTTATACACAGGGCTATTAGCTGTGTATATTGGTTGCGTATACTACAGTTTTGCAGGTGGAGAGCCTATACACGAGTATAGCGTTTTCGGTACACTGCGCCCGCGTCAGTGCGACGTTGGGAGCTGTCGAGTAAGGGTGTGCACGGTGGAGGCATGCGAGAGCAAGACAGCAGTGCGCGCTATAGTGGGCGAGAGAGAGAGCGACGCACCTGTACTCTGTATGACGGCCGGACGGCTACTGAGCGCAATAGACTGCTTCAAAACAACTCTAGTTGCCTTGCCTGCAATGAACCAGCTAGTATGCCTCTGAACACGTCAAGCATCACAAATTTTTGTAGCCTGGCCTGGTAGACGTAACCGATATACGCAACTAATAGCCACGTGTATAAGCACCTAAAGTTAAGAGTACTGAGCAACCTTTTAAATATTCGTGGTATCGACAAGGCCATGCAGCAGCCAGAGTGGTTAGGCGTGGCCACATACGCATAAAGCCTAGTCACATTTGTAGTCAGTACGAGCATGTATGTAATCTTTATCACCACTGAAGAGGAGTGCGTACTCATGGCGGGCCGCGTCTAAATTCACCATCAACACAAATTTATTTTATTGAGCAAAGATATTAGAGGGTCAGAGGCGGGCAGTAGCGCGCCACATGTAGCGGCCGCTACTAGCGGCCGCTACATTTTCAGTAGCGGTAGCGGTAGCGGCTCTACCTATAAGGCAATGTAGCGGTAGCGGTAGCGTCCGCTACATATTTAAGTAGCGATACGAGGTTTTGCCGCTACAGCGCTACCGCTACATTAGAGAAAAAGCCTTTAGATTTTACTTAATAGTATTAAATATTCTTTAAAAACCAGCATGATTCATACATAATTTAAATTACAGAATAAAACTGTACGGAAGATTTCGGTGTAATGTTGCCAACCTCAGTCTGTTACTAGTGTCAACATGTTAATTGTTACTTGTTAAGTTGTTACCAGTTACCACTTACAGGTATTTTTTCATGTTTCAGTTTGCTTATTTACGTTTCACCTTCGCTACATCCATGTCTACTTTAATCTACCAATCTCAAAAATAATCCACATATATATACAAATAAAAGACTGATTTTTAGCGCATTTTCTCATTTATGCAAAAAATGCACGATTGTGCTCGCGATGTCCGTCTGTCCGTCCGTCTGTCTGTCCGTCCGTGACTTCATATTTTCGTCGACGAGAAAATGCGCTCTATGTCACTCACTGCAGTGAGTACTGACTTATATTTTTTTATATGTATATGTGGATAATTTTTTAGATTGGTAGATTAAAGTACACATCCATATAGGGAAGGTAGAACATAAAAATAACTGTAACTTTTATTTACTGTATCTAACCCGTACCAGTTCGGTTAGGTCAGTGGTTCCCAAACTTTTTCAGGCTGGCGCCCCCTTTGGCTCTCTAGTGAATTTCTAGCGCCCCCCACAGACATACGCCTCTTTCGTGGAATTTAGTACGCTGCAATTTTAAAAGATAAAGGTTAAACACAAATGTGTATTTCACAAATATAACCAATTTAGTCAACCTATATGTTTTTCAACTGTTTTAACTGTTTCAGCACTAGAAACCTAGGACGTTCCGAGCGAATTTAAGGCCGGACTCGTGGCCGGTCTCACGAAAAATCTCCAAATTCAATTATCAAGTAATATCTCCCAAACTAATGAACGCAGCTCTATGAAACTTGGAACACGTATTTATTAGAACCTAACTGTGATTCAAATTTTACCTTCATTCGTGAGTTACGTGTACATTGCGAAACAGNTGTCTCTTATACACATCTAAACAATGGCAAAAACAAACGATGGCAAAATTCAAACAATTTTCACGAGCAAAACATTATCGTTAGGTCCTAATGAATACGTGTACCAAGATTCATCGAGTTAAGTTCCTTAGTTTGAGAGATATTCCTTGATCATAGAATTTGGAAATTGTCCGTGAGACCGGCCGTGAGTCCGGCCGTTAATTTGTCCGAGACGTAAACCCAGGAGAGGTTAAAAAACAGATCTGGGTGACAAAACCAACGCTGGGAGTCATGTGCTGCACGTGTTGTGTGCAAATCGTCAAACAAAGGTTCGAACTTCTGACATTAACTTCAGACTACCGCCCCCCTTATTGCCCTCCTACCGCCCTCTTCTTCTTTACCGCCCCCAAAATCTTTCCACCGCCCCTAGGGGGGCGATATCACCCACTTTGGGAATAACTAGGTTAGGTTAATTGCAATAAAGTTGCATTGTTATATTTTGAAAATATTTTATTATCAATAAATGTGTATGAGTAAATCCCAATAGCAGAACAATAAATGTTTAGAGATTTCCAATAATTTTGGCCATGGTAGCGGCTAATGTAGCGCGCTATATTTTACTGCAGCGGTAGCGGTAGCGCTCGCTACAATCTAGTGGGTGTAGCGGTAGCGGTAGCGCCCGCTACATTTAGAGCATATAGCGGTAGCGGTAGCGCCGCTACATTTCAAAGTAGCGCTGCTCAGCTCTGTAGAGGGCAATGTCTTTTATACGATCAATTGCTAAAAGCCATCGGTGCCAGAAGTACATAGCAACTGCTCAAAACTGTATTCAATTTCCAAGTTCGAAATCATTCTGGCCGTATATCTGAAGCCTCTGTCCATAGGGTTGACACAAGGCAATGTCAAGACTCAAAGGAGTAAGTACGCAGCGAAAGGATTGTAGAAGAGAAGGCAAGAGAGGGAACCTCCGCCGCACGGACGTCATCAAAATCAAGACAGAGTACGAAGAGTATTTTATAGTACAAAGCAAATCTCATTACACCTGAGCACCAATGGAAAGGTAAGACCAAACAGGCACTGAAATTAGAAGAAAACAAGCACTGTCATTAAGATGTCGGTGATCAGGTATGTCTTCAATCTTTCCTTGTGGGAACAGTAACCCGAGAGCGCTTTGTCAATTGCGAACGGCTAAAATCCTGAAATCTACAAACGAAGGTTTTAATTTCCTAGGGAAACTTCTTTTACCTGGAATCTCAAATCATAAGTTTAGCAATTGCTCCGTAAATGATTAAAAAAATAAATTTTCTAATGTGATACACGAATTTATACTTTCACAATGAATAATCTTATTTCCAATTTACACATATTTTTCTTTATGTTTTAACATTAAGGCTAACTACGCAGGGATTTTTTGAGCGTGGTTATTTAGCCCACAGTCAAAAAGTCACTGTGGAAGTTTTATAAAAAGTCATGAACTTCGTGAAGAGAACAATGATTTGAATAGTGCACTATTTTAAACAAAATAAAAATTATTTCTATCAAAAATATGTTATGGACACTGAAGATGTAATATCTTTAAATCTTCAAAATTTTGAAGCCAGAGCCAATGAAGCTATATGGTGCGATACATAGTGAACACATATTTCCATAAATATTTCTTAAAATGTCCGCTAACGCTACTTTTCTAATAAACTTTATTGCTATTTTCAGATCTTACATTACTACGGTAAACTGGATATATTGCAAAAAAGTTCAACGTTATTTCGTTTCCAAGATGTATGTTCTTCTCAAAAATATTCTGCATATAAGACAATAATTTACAATACAATTATGTTAATATGAAGCGGAGATATGATAATTTAAAAACTCGGTTAACATTTTTGCATGACACTTTGTATATTAA